TGCATTACAAACGACACCATCAATGGAGACGTTGTCTGCTACATACCGTGCAGATTCCCAGGTCAACGCGGACAGCCAAGCAACTGATCAACGATTTTTCATGCGGCTACTGTTTTTGGCAGTGAAAGTGATCATTAGATCGCTACCAGACGCCGTCAACATCTCAGAGGTAAAGGCGATCCTTAATAGGGAACCCCTTATTCTGGGGACAAGGGTCCCTGAAGTGTAATGAATAGTGTGTACAGTAAAACGACTGTATTCCAATGGAATGCGAATTCCCTCCGAACTAAAATAGGAGAGTTCAGTAAGCTCGTTGCGCAATACCAGTTCCCTGTTCTGGCAATATCTAAAGCTCATACAGATGCAAAAACTAAGATAGCTGGCTACCTCCCCTATTGCTCGTCCCGTCGGGATGGTCCCAGTCGAGCAATGCTCTGTTTGAGAAAAGACATGCCATCAGTTATTATGTGCTCATCATTATCTGAAGCGCCAGAATACGTTGCGTGCAAGGTTTGGCACGACCGCAATGATTACAGCCTGCGTATATATAGAGCCAGTAACATCAGTGACGGAGGGAGCTCTAACATCAATACTATCAAAATGTAGTGATCCCTACATTTTGTGTGGGGATTTCAACTCGCACCATACATTGTGGGGAAGCACACAAAATGATAAGAGAGGGAAGCTGATTGCCAATTTAATAGAGAAATATAATCTATGCGTGCTAAATGATGGCACTCAGACATTCCTTCGTGGATGTACTTATTCAAGTGTTCTGGATTTGACAATATTTTCTCAAGACATTTTCCCGGATTTATCATGGCATGTTGATACAGAAACCCATGGAAGCGACCATTTTTCCATACTCGTCCAGCACAGAAAGGTAGCGAGACCGCGCAATGGACAACGTAAACTTAAAATTACAAATTGGCGCATGTTTCGATATTTGAATACGCTAAGCTGTAAAAACGTTGATACGTTGGACGACCTTACTTCGATTGTGAGAGAAAATTTGGACCACGCAATAGGATGGGTATCCATTCCATTCGATTACAGACGTGTTGATGCTCCGTATGAAAAACTTACAGCAATACGACGCAGAGCCGAACGAAGATATCGCCGCTCAGGATGGATAGAGGACTATAAGGAGGCTCAGCGTGTTCACAGCCTTATACAACGTAAACTTAAGCAACTTGCCAAACATCGATGGCGACAGCTTTGTGGTAAGCTATCGGCTGTAAGTGACCTCACGAGGATGTGGATTATTATTAGAGCTCTCCAAGCGCCGACTATTCAAAGGTTCCCGTTGCGAGCAATGGCGCTATCCAGAGGCGTATCAGAACTGACAATAGCAGACGAGTTTTGCAAATTATTGGTTCGACCAAGCACGGCATCTCGGACACTTAAATACTTTGCCTCCTGTGCCGATGCCAAACAAACAATTGATAACGAGTTTACGTCCTGTCATTTAGAGCTAGATTGTGTTTTCACAATGTGGGAACTTCAAAGCGTACTGAGAGTGACACGTCGGGATAGGTCACCTGGCCCAGACCTTATCACACGGGATGAATTGACCTACATCGGTCCACGTGCGCTGAACTTCATTTTGAGCACGTTTAACTTCCTCTGGGTCAAGAAAGAAATACCAGACCCATGGAACGTCGCTAAGGTCATACCGCTTTTGAAGGCGGGAAAAACACCCATGGACCTAGCCTCCTTTCGACCGGTCAGCCTTACAAACTGCTTAGGTAAGCTTTTCGAAAAGCTCATTAATCAACGACTATAATGGTGGCTAGAAACGAGTGAAGTGTTACCGGAAGAACTAGCAGGGTTTCGTCCCAAACGCTGCACGATGGATTGCGTTTAAGATTTGGTAACATGCATAGAACATGAACGTACGCTCGGAAAAATCACAATAGCTGTATTTTTAGATATCAAGCGCGCATACGATACAGTAAGTCAAATCTACATTCTATATAGTAATAAGGTGGAGAACTGGGCCAGTTGGTTGACGTTATACATGATGGGGAAAACAGCTCAGGAAACACGGACTACGAAGAGGAACAAACACGACAGGACAATGCTGTACAGCATTGTCCTGTCGTGTTTGTTCCTCTTCGTAGTCCGTGTTTCCTGAACTGCTTTCCCCATCATTCTATATAGTCTTATACAACTTGGAATTCGAGGACGAGTCGTACGGTGGATAAAAAACTTCCTTTCAAAATGGACAATGTTTGTAAAGACCGCAGATGGAGATAGCACCAGTCAAGATCCCCGACATGGCGTACCTCAAGGGAGCGTACTAAGCCCTATTCCATTTAATACGGTCATGGCTTTGCTTCCAGGACGCCTCCCTTCACCACTCCATGTGACGATATATGCAGATGGCAATTGTATCTGGGCCTCAGGCACATGTCTAAAAACTTTACAGGATCAGCTTCAAGCGGGACTGAACCTTTTAGACGAGTTCTTAAGTGAACGGGGTATGGATGTTGCACCTTCAAAATCAGTAATGCTTCCGTTCACGAGGAAGCACCTTCGTGGATTCTAGCTAAAAATACAGGGTCAGCCTTTAGAACACGTCTCGCATCATTTCTTTCTTGGTGTGATTCGAGATTAAAGCCTCACTTGGGTAAAACACATCGATATGCTGGAGGCAAAAGTGAACAAAGCAATCAACATTTTACGTTATTTTACTGGAGTTCGTTGGGGAGCCTCAACTAAATCCATAATAATGCTGCATTCTGCACTAGTTCGGCAAATTATTACATATTCACTCCCAGCACTCTATGGATTATCTGCACCACAAAAAAACAGACAACATTACATGATCGCCCGTAGTCTTCGAATCTGCTTGGGCGTCTTGCGTTCAACTCGCGGAACACTGGATTTAGCAGAAACAAGAGAGCTACCTATTCCAACTTTACGCGAACATATGAGTCCTTACGTCGTTTCCTACGATTGTCCATTCAGAATTGTCACCCAATTGCGGAAAATTTGGCGACTAGGACGGACTCACATATTTCCTCAACACTGATATCGTCGAGCGTCATCGTGCCGGATTACACACCGTGGGTTCCGACTATAGCTCGACCACTCTGGGTGTTTCGCGTCGGAGATACTAACACGGAACTACGCAACCTTAAGAAAAGCCTGAGCACATCTCATTTTGCGATTACTCAGTCGGCGTTGTCATACTTGCATGATTACTAAAGAGACCACATTCATGTATACACGGATGGCTCTACGACAAATGATGGCTCAACCTCAGCTTTCGTAATTCCATCAATGCAAGTGCAGAAATGTATTCGTTTGTCCCACAGAACGTCCTCTACTGCTGCAGAACTTTATTCAATTTTTGCGTCAGTGAAGTATATAAAGGACGTAGAACCTCAAAACCAGTGACTCCAAGGCAGCCCTCGGTGCTCTTTCGTTAATAAACTCTAGAAGTCCGGCATATGCACTGGCCTACCAGGTAGCTGATATGATCGATCGGGCCGTAAGTAATGGTCATTCATTAAAGCTGCAGTGGATTCCAGGAGAGAGCGGAATCTCAGGAAACATGGAGGCAGACAAACTAGCAACAAGTGCACATGCTTTAGACAGAACTCGAGGAATTCCTTTTTCCAAAACAGACATAAAGTATTTAATTGCACACCACTCTAAAGAAATGGCAGTCAACATATGATTTAATGAGGCAGGACGGCAGTCTACTCTCTTCGTGGTGGATCCAGAATTACGGTTTTATATATCAAGTGATATACCGAGAAAATGTGAAACAATGCTTCACCGCCTGCGACTGAACGTGGCTTTCACGAGACAATTTTGCTACAAAATTAATGAAATTGAGGACCCAAAATGTTCTTGCGGTCAGAGTGTAAAAACTATTGAACACATTTTTTTTTAACTGTCCTCGCTTCGATCGCAATCGGTCACAACTAAAAGTACGGTTTGATACCCTAAATAAAAGGCTTTTCCCCATAAGTAAATTACTGGGGCCATGGCCCAATCAAATCATGCAGAAACATGCTCTCCAGGCAATAAAAGGGTTGAGCCTTTTATTGCCTGAGCCTTGTTGTAAAATGAGTGAATATAGCAATATGTATGTATCTGTGAACAATCTGGGTGACAATTGGTAAGACTCGAAGTGACACTTCATACCAAGAACCTAAGTGCTGGTCGTTAAGTGTTCTCATCGTATGTGTCTATGTATGTGTGCACGTGTTGGTGTGTAGAACTAGTGCGTGTTATTATTTAAGGACCATTGTCAGAGTGAAGGTGGAGTCGCGCCCCGTACCTACCGTGCGGGGCGAGGCCCGGGGGTGACGCTTGGAACGTTCTGACCCTCTGCACGACGGTCCAGTCGCGTCGCTCAAGCGGAGTTACACTCCTGGAGGTTATGTCTTGTATAGACGTTTTGCACACGAGCTATATTTCAGCCGCCATTACTGATCTTCTCTTGTATTACTGAGATACCAAGCCACTGAAGCGCGCTTTGAGGAGCCCCCACAAAGGCCATTGCTGCGGAGAAGGACACAGTCGGATCTGAAATGGCAATAACCTGTCCTGCTGGGGCAATGATGGAGGGAAGTGATCGAAATAAAAGGAAACAAAAACTGAAGGTCACTTATGGCGGCGCCCATGAACAGCTGCTGAAAAGCGTCTGCGGGCCGTCGTGTGCGGGGCGGGCGATGCTTGGGCGGTGTCTGGCGGGCTGATTGCTGTGGGGTCTGTGGACGGTGTGGCTTCAGCTTTAGATGTTTTTTTATTATGTTCCGTTATAGGTAGGGGAAAGGTGGGGGGGGGGGGGGGGGACATTGAGGTGTATAGCTGCATCTGTATGTTTGAAGTGTTTAATTTCTACGTCGGAAATATTCTCTTCAATGGTAATGGAGTAGCCGGTCACTCCTTAGAATGACTAACATCTCCATTTATTATTTTTAACACATATTAAAAAAGAAGAAGAATTAGCGTACTATTTGTGTTGCTGTTTTTCTCACCTTGGAGTTTTAGCTTGTGCCGGAAGTCCGTCTTGGAGCGAGTGCGGCGTTGCTAATGCATCGACTGGATAGGAAAATAAAACAAAACAAAAGATCAACAATCATCATCGCTTCAGTTGCACATCAATCTGAAGTTACAGTGATAAACTCAAACTTTTTCCATCTTCAAAACCCGAAACTTGTAAACAAAAAATGGGAAACACGCGCACCCAGAAATCAAAATCTCACCCGCCAAACATTTTTTTTTTTTTTTTACATCTTTGCGAGCAGACGTTGGTTAAAATAGGCAACGCAATTTTCGCTCTCAAGTTTCGAATTTTTTAACGTATTCAGTACATTCCAATTACAGATAAAAGCAACGAGTCCGTCAAAGCGAGAGGTCAGATTCAGTTGATTTTACGAGTCTTTGACTGAAGTAAGCAAAAAAAAAAAAAAGCGAAACTTAAGTTCAAGCATTTTGTACAAAATATTTCTTTCAACTTTCTTTTTCTTCTTTTACTTATTTCGCTGACGTCATCGCACAGTGCAGTAAAAAAAGCATGGTGCCTATACTCCGTTCCACCTTATGTTGTACCGCAGACAAGGCCAGAAGCGCGAGCTCATAGCGTTGGCAGCTACTCTTAACGCACGAGAGCTTGTGCCGCCGAGGTGTGCCCTAGAGCAAGGAGCTCGCGCTTGTAGCCTTTCCTGCGGTACATCATAAGGTGAAACAGAGTACAACAGCGTCGGCCCCCCCTCCCGCCCATCCCTTTTCCTCTTTCCATTCCTTTCTCTTGGGTACAACAGCGAAAACAAAAAATAGGAATGTTGGACAGAATCAATAATTCAAGTAAAACAACCAAAAAAAATTGACATCAATCAATAATGCGCATAAAAAGAAACATACAATAATCGCAAGCTTGAACATTACAAGTTGATTCGACAATTAAGGCAGAAAGTAAAGTAGAACATATACCATTTCTGGAGCATTTATTGCAGCCTCGTAATTGCCTAGTATAATATACAATCTCGGGATGAGGAACTGAGTTGTGACCACGGGAAAAAGTATAACACGTTGGTTAAACATATTTAGGAGACACCAGCTGAACGAACCAAGCTTACAAATGTGAGGAGAACGAGAGAGACGCATTCAACCGCTGACTAACAACTGCATTTAATGAAACACTTAATCTTCATCGACAGGCTAGGATCAATCAAACCTAGCTTGCTTCACTTCTTCCTTTTTTTCCTCATTTTTAAATTAGGGTATCCTGCTCGTCTGTCTGCTTGTGGGCGGTACTTCCACCTCGAAAGAACGTCCACTCTTCTCTGGTTAAAGTGGCCCTGCAATCATATTTAGCGTCTACCTTTTTTTGCAGTTTCCACGCCTCTCGGGGTTCGGGCAAGCCCGCGGGCACGGAGAGGGTAACTAACTATCAGTGCGTCGTATTTTAACCGGACGACGCGGAAACCTCCTCCACCGACGAGGGCGACCCGCGGTACCGAAAGCGCGCAAAATGTAACGTCTTTGGTCCTGGGCTTACTACTGGTCAGAGCCGCTAAAAGCTTCTTTTTTTTTTTTTTTTGTCGAAATACAAAATATAAGAGGCGCGAACCGTTTCAATTATTTATAAAAACAGTTTTTGTTCAATATCTTAGATCAGAAAAGAAACGAATGCAGTTTATAAAGTACGGAAACAAGAAATGACCCGTCGACAAACCCGCTACCAAGTGGTGGAAAAGGCGGCGTGCACTAGAAATGAATAGTGGGATCAGGCGCCTATACGGAAAGGTCCCGGATGTACGCGGCGGAGCTGCGGTCGTATGGACAGGAGGATCCGACCGACTCCGAGCGTTCCGAAGGCCTTTGGCTAGGAGCTTTGTCTTGCTGTTCGGCCGTTTCGCGGTACTGCAGCGCGAAGTGGCTCCCATTCTGAACTGATCTTTACCCCGTGTTTGCTGTCGTTTGTGGCCAATGAAGTGTCATGCCGAATTAGTGTTTAATCGCGCAGCAAATTCAATGAGAGCCGCTCTGGCTGCCCGCTGCATACAGCCTATCCAGAATACGCTTTAGTGGCGCCCTTTGCGTCGTCGACACTGAGCGCAGCAGCCGTGAGTTCTCGCTGAGCTCACTACCCCTCCTCTAATTCAAGGCCACTCAAGCAACCAAGGACGTCATGAGGGAGGTTATTTTTTGCATGTTTTTGTAATTTTAATTTCGAGAAAAGAAACGTTTCACTAAGTTACTACGTTCAGTGCGCTCAGGTTCGGTGAAAATTAAAAACCAGCAAAAACATCCATGCACGGCCTCTTTAAGGTCACAGGTGGTGAACTGACACACATGTCCCCTTTCTCTTCCATGTTTAAAGCTTCTAAAACCTGACGGGGAAACCGGTTTCGATAGTGCCCCATGATGGTAACTTTGTCTAAGTTTGCCTTGCACTTGCAGTCACGGCAATGTAGGGCTAAGTGACCTGCTGCCGTCAAATTCTTCAAACTATTGGCATGTTCCCGAGTCCTATCATTTGTATACACCGCCCGGTCTGTCCAATGTAACAGCGGCCGCATGTCAGGGGTATGTGGTATATACTGTAAACGACTAAATTTTCGCGGGGACCAAATTTTTGCGAATTTCGCGAATCGCCTACAATTCGCGAAAAATACCTCCCGCGAACAATTCGGGCAATATGTGAACGCTACGGAAGCTACACTCGATTCGCGAAAATTAGAACCCGCGAACAATTTCAAATTTTCAGCTTTGACCCGTTTCGCGAAAATTTTAGCCCGCGAAAATTAAGTCGTTTACAACCTTTTTGTCGCAGTGGGCATAAACGGTCCTGTGATTGGTGCCACACCCCTTTCTGTTGCTGGTTTGCCCCTGATTGTCAAGGCGGTGTATAAATGATAGGACTCGGGAACATGTCAATAGTTTGAAGAACTCGACGGCAGCAGGTCACTTAGCCCTGCATTGCCGTGACTGCAAGTGCAAGGCAAACTTAGGCAAAGTTACCATCATGGAGCACCATCGAAACCGGTTTGCACGTGAGGTTTTAGAAGCTTTAAACATGAAAGAGAAAGGGGACATGTGTGTCCCCTTTCTCTTCCATGTTTAATGGAAGAGAAAGAGGACACAACTTCCGCTTGCATTGCTTAATGTCACAACTCAGGCTGCGTTTTTATGGTCCAAACATATGTTTCGGCATCGTCATTCGCTGAGCTGCTTCTGAAAATTGCGGTGATTGGCTCTCCGAGTGTTGTGCGTGAGTGTAGACGCACAGACTTATTTTTTTTTTATTATTGTACGCTGCGCTGTTATGACTCATTGGCAGCTTATCATTCGTGAACTATGAATTCATGACGTAGGTGTTTGAGCGCTTCGGCTCTCGGAAACACTTGCCGAAGCGTGAATGTGTTGGCGGATCCCCAGAAGGACCTTGATCCTTCAGCCTATGAAGATATCCAGTAGTTTAGATTCTCTTGGAATTCGTATTTGGCCAGCCCCGTTGCCGTAGTACACTTTCTTCCGTGACGTCGCTCATGCTTCAAATATTCGAAGGAAGGCCAAAAGGGCAGAACGCACTTTGGCCACTGTTTAACGCGGCTAAAAAAGTAAGCGCTCCGTCAACCATGCCAACGGGTTCTGGTTGTAACTTGATGTTCGACATTTTAGCACAACGAACGGATCAATAAAGATACGCGTTGAAGAACGATTTGGGCTATTTACGTATTTTTGCCGATTTCAGAGTACCGTTTTACTTTGCGTGCTTCCCTCTTTTCGTTCAGTTTTACATTTACAAATTTCTATTAGGATGTCAAGCACTCCGTACCGTTGCTCCTACATACCAAGCAGGCATCATAATGCCTTTTCATGTCCAGTGACACAGTAATAACTTATCTATTATTTTTATAGAGCTCTTATAACAATGGAATCCAAAGAGGGATCTTCAGAATAGTGGCCAATTGAAATATCACGAGGAATCTTTAAAATGGCGGCCAATACACTGCTAAGAAATTAATTATTTTATCGGGAGACTTAACCCTCAACAAGTTTTAAGTGTCCTAACTACAGTGTTGTCCTAACAAAGCGTTGGCTGCCACATATAGGTTGCCCAGAATTCCATTGTTATAAACCCTAAAACTGAAAAAGAAGAAAAGTTACAATTGTAAGCAGTGAGAGAGTGCAGGCGAGCTGGTAATCAATCGACATCTTGTAAACCCTGAGATGGGAACGATAAAAAAACGGACGAACACAACAAAATCACAGGCCGTTGCCAGCTGCTACTATTTCTGTGCCTTCTTTGTAGCTCGGAACAATACTGGAATCCCGAATTTCGGATTAAGTACAATATACTCACTTTTATGTTCGTCAGCCATGATTATCCCAAAGCGTCTTCGTACGCACCCGTACTCAACGTAGAATGCTACCCTTTCTGAAAACGCTGCGTCTGTCAGGATATGCCAAACGTCCTTATCGAGATAACTTATCCAGGTATGAAACCCTACGGCAACAACGAGGAACGATTCCCATATCGCCGTCACATCTGGACTTTGACACAATACTCAAGGATAGACATTTCTCCCGAAAGCGAGCGTTATTGACAGTTCTCAGACGCTGTAGTTAAGTTCCGGCTTTTGGTTGCAATCGTTCTCAACGGAGATAGGTAGCTTTTGGTGCCTGACATGAACCAGGAACAAGCAATCTGTGGGATCACTTGCTTCGTGCACACCTCGAGCGAAAAGCACAAATCGCAGTTCGAGCAGTTTGGCGGCCGGTATAGAAACGGGTAAAGACGCTAACGCCGCTCTCGGGGTCAAACTAAGACAATACGATACATCAATAAAAATAAAAAGAAGCGAGTGTGATGTTTTGTGAGTTTGTGTTTCTCAGCTTTAAGCCGTATAGTCACACTGAAGGTATAGTCACGTTTCATCAGCGGACGTTTCGAGCTATCCCAGCCAATCCCGCTCCGTGGACGTGACCCGTGATACGCTTTCCGCGCGTCGCCGTGCCCGCTCTCCAAGGACACGTGACACTGACACGGCCTTGGATTGGCTGCAATGGCTCGTAGCATCCGCTGCACCCGCGGACGTAAGGTGAAGCGGAGTATAGACCAAACACGCGTCCCTGACGTCACGCAGCTGCGGTGGCGCTGTCGACGGCACTGCGCATGCGCAGACGCTCCAGTTCACTTGAATTCGATTTCTGCGCATGCGCAGTGCCCACACCTGGTGTGGGCGAACGCGGGCTTGTTTGTAAACAGCGTGCCGATCTATAGATAGGACATTTACATGCACATTTTAAAAGGTCACGGAAGTGACGTGTAGGCGTCTGATTGGTGGGGGCAATTATGTGATTGCCTTCACCTCAGACATTATACACAAAAGATACGGTGTTCACTGCGGATATAGTGACGAAATTATCTGCGTACACGCCTCAAGCATGTTGGCCTCGGACATATGTGTGCTTCGATTCGAACATATGTGCGACAGTGTTTGTATGACCGACGCCACATGTACCGTCCTATACAAGAAGGACACGCACCTCAGAGAGGGTCTGCAGGCTGTCTTTTGGACCAAGGGATCGGGAATAGAAAACCACTCTCACCTGGAATATTTACCTCGAAGTATACAGTATTCGTGCGAGAATAAGAAACGACGAATCATTGTTTAAGACTGAAATAAAGTAAAGGGAAATGTAAGGTTATAGTAACAAATGAAATTAAATAACCACAGTGCTTAGAACACACATCCCGGATGTGTTATCCTGATTTTCTCAGTTTGAACTTCAAATGCGCCGTTACAATGCATATACATGAATGTTGCTTATTTTCTTTCTTATTATCCAGTGCGTTTTTTTTTTTTGCTGTTTTTTTTGTGTTTTGCAGTTTTTAACGCAAACGTTCCAGATGTCTAAAATAAGAGGAGTGGGTCAATTGGCTATGGTAAAATCATTTTAACCGGGTTCTTTAGGTAGAAAGCAACAATAATCATTATTATCGATATGGAAGTTCTGAATATTTAAATTTATTCAGAATATTGGGAAAAGCGGCTTATAGCTTTAACTGTTACTAGAACTGGACCTTGAGGTCATAGTTCTGTCTAGGCTTATATAAATCACTCAGTGTTACCGGCCTTAACAGCCTATTATTTATGAGATCGTTATAAGCATGCGCTCCGAGCAGCGTCCTCAAACATGACGTCCATTAAAGGTATGCTGAACCGAAATCTGAATTCCCCAAAACACGCGGCAAAAGCGTGCAACGGGATAGTACAAACACCAAAACATCACTCATACAGCGACATCTCGAACGGATAACCGTATTTAAAAAAAAAAAAAGAAAAGAAAAAGGCGCATTTGGCAGGAATGTTGACGCCATGTTTCTCCGAGAAGGAGAGGGAACGGCCTCACGTTTTCTCCACCTCGCGGCCTTGAGGGAGCGAAGTGAAGAGAGGAGGAAACTAGGTATCTTGACGTCACGCGCCTCGTCGGCCTGGTTCAATCTCGACCTCTTTTTCCAAAAATACGGCCGTCCATTTGAGATATCGCCTTACTAGTAGTGTTGTAGGGATTGTAGCGACCCGCCTACATCTCCAGCATTGTTTTTTTGAAATCCAAATTTCGGTTCACCATCCCTTTAAATACCCCCGATAGGCCTAGAATTACCCAAGCATCAAAAAGGATGCCGGGAACGTAAATGCACGCGCTGCGCGTACTATACTCTGTTTCACCTTATGATGTACCGCAGGAAAGGCTACAAGCGCGAGCTCCTGGCTCTAGGGCACATCTTGGCGGCACAAGCTCTCGTGCATTAAGGGCAGCTGCCAACGCTGTGAGCTCGGGCTTCTAGCCTTCGCTGCGGTACAACATAGGGTGAAACGGAGTATAGCGTATTCAATTCTAAATGTTCGAAAGCAAAAGTCTAAAACAAATGTCACTTCGCACGCGCGTCCAACAAACGCTTTATTTTGGTGTTTCCTTCGAATCTTCAAAAGGCACGTAGCTCTCAAGTTCTGAGCAGCGCTCCAAGCGGGCAAAATAAAATATCTGACTCGCGTTTCGAGCATGCGTCAATACGCTTCCCCACTATAGTTTTTTATACTCCGTTCTATTCAAAGAATGAGCTGCGAGCTTTCAGCGTCCCTGCCAAGCACGCGCGCTTGTGCAGTGCGAGCATCGTTGGGGGAACGTGCTTTTGCGAGTAGCTTCGGCTTCGCTACAGTGTTCTAGCTTCGCTATCACGTTAAGTGAAATATACATGCTCGCCGAAGCTATGAAAGAAAGCAAAGATGAAAGGGATTTTTAATGAAACGCTGCAGGCCGCGAGCTGCAGAATTTGTTTCTTTTTTTTTTTTTTTAGACGTTCTCATATCACGCATCTACAGATGCTGACAGATGCTTTTATTCGACCGTGGCACGTGAAAAATAAAATCGACCGTTACAGCGCCACACGGATGGTACAACCAGCATACATGGTCGCGTCTTCCGTGAGTCTTCCTGACGCGTTCACGCCCCCTGCTCCAGAGCAACGGGCCTTACGGCGCTGATGCTTCGAATCGCTTTAAACGTATCGTGGCGCCCTCTGGTGGCGGGCGATGGGGTGTCTGAGTAATACAAGTCCCCTGGCCTCGCACAATAACAAACCTGTTCGGACGGCTGCTTACCTCTGCACGCTGCTGATATTGGTGAGTTCGCGTGGTCAAGATTCAAAATGTGTCACCCGTAGTCGTCACCGCACAACGTTACTCCGGGGACCTGAGCTCGCCGCAAGCTAGTAATTTTTCCTTCGTCCAAGCCTGCTGAAACCGGGCGCGACCTTGATGCGTTCGAAACGTCGCCGACGACGGTACTGTTGCGTCGTCAACTGTCAAGAACGGAAAGGTATTAACCTCGGAGTGAACTTCTACAGATTCCCACCGAAACCGTGCGAAGTCGAGCGGAGGGAGAGATACTATAACCAGCCGGTGCACTGAGTAAGCGAGACTTGTTTTTCCTCGCTCTCCATCGTTGTTCTGCTAAGGCACGGCCACTCGATCAAGCGGCCGTGGCATGCATCGAAACGTGTGTTATGCGAATGTAACGAACAGGAACACGCTATACTGTCCGGCCGCTGGAGCGATCCGATTGAACTACATCTCTTGCAACATGAGATCAAGAGTAAAAGCGCCGTTCCCAGCGAAAGCTTTCCTCTGAAGAGACGAGAGTGCGCCCGCACCAACGCACTACAGAAAGCAACAAGCATTTTGCTGAAAGCGGAGCTCCTACTGCTAATCTTATGTTGCGTGAAGCTTGCAGCGCAAATGTACAAGAAAAGCTGCAGAAGCTCGAGAGGGAGCGTGCAGTAAGAACGATGTGATCGGCCGGCCGACAGACGGCCGGTCGATGCTCTATCGCTATAGCGTCTGCTTTCGCGCATTTTCGAGGTTGGTCATCAGCTGATAGCGTTGGCTTTACGGAGGGACAGCAGTTTGGGAGTTTTTGCTTACAAAGCACGTTAACGTATCTCGTAATGCTCACTCGAGCTTGACATTATTAGAAGCTTGCTGTTTTTGCGAGTGACAGCGAATCAGCTGCGAGTGACAGCTCCGACACCGAATTTGTGGCTTCTTGTACAGCGTAGACATAGCTTGCATCGCTGAGTTTCTTCCCTTTGCAAAGGGTTAGGGACGAAAGAAGCTTTCCACGTAAGAAATGGGCTCGATTTCATACCGTAAAAGAATCGCGGGCGGAATTCATACCGCCGGCTAACGTTTTCACGTGGGACAAATTCAAATGCTCAAGTTTGTACTACCCCAAACCGATAAACAAATCGTGGGGGGCGCTGCCAGCCGGCTTTTCCGCAGCGCCTCCTAGGCAAAGCAGGATGCCTATAGTGGAATTCACTGGACGCCATATTTGAAGGCGATGTTTAGAGCACATGCTCAGAACAAGCTCACATTAATAGCCTGCGAAGATCCGCAGTCTTGATGCTGCAGAATGCACGTTGCCAAAGAACTGTGGAAGCTCGCCGTCAGCATGCGCTCAGCAGCCGCGCACACTAGAGTGCCTTCATACACACGCGCGCTTTTGCTTGAGTGGTGACATCTCAGCCATTTTTCCGCCCAATCGTTTTTTTTATGCATTTTGAAGTGCGCGCAATCCGGTGTCACTCAGCTCGAGCGCGTAGCGTTGGCTGATGCATAGACGCCATCTTACCGCCCAAGTCACGCACCGCGTGCGCGAGAGCGTCACGCGCTGGTACATTCCGGACAACAATGGATGTCTTCACCCTGAGACAGACAGACATCCAGGCACCCTAGCGCACACACATATATGGCCTCCAGTGATTACGTCCCTAGGAAAGGCGAGCACGTGCAGCGCGTGCACCTACCTTCCCAACATTTTCTTTGATGCTTGCGTAAATGAGCGAAAAGTATATCAGTACTCCTACAAGGGGCGCTCCAATTAATAACTTTTGTAAAAATTCCCTTCTTTATTTATATTTCCGAATAACACTATTATTAAAAGAGTCGACGAATTCCCGCCATATCTCTCATCATGTCGTTGAAAGTTACGGGCTCGTTGGTCCAGTCAGTCTTCTACCGCATGATCGCACTCTCTACACACTCTCAAAGGCAGAGGTCAAAATCGAGAGAGGAAAGGACGGCGATTCTTTGATCCGGCGAGCATCTGCCTTCAGCGCCAGGCAACTTTAAATGGCAGACCAACTACACGCTGTATAAATATCCCCACAACCCAACTTTTTTTGCCCTTGTTAACACAAGTGGGAACGCGCAGGCACGCGCAACCAAAGCACTACGGGAGCCAGCGAGCTCGCGCTGAAGGTTGAGCTTTCAGTCTCAGCTTGAACGGGGTACAGAGACGTTGCTTCCACCCCTCTGTCGGATTAAACAAGTTCCGAATTGCAAAATAAGGGAAACTGCGAAATAAGGGCAACACGACTTCAAATGTCGTTCAGTTGTCCTTTTCTATTTTCTCTCTCTCTCTCTCTCTCTTTCTTTATTTTTTATTTTTTTCGTATTGTGATTTTATAAAGTGGAATTCCAAATGGTTAAGTTCTTGACTTGTAGTAAATTCACCGGTGAAATTTCAGCGTTCGCTAAAAATAAACCTTTTTTACGTTAACTTTTCACAAGCAAAGATTGACTGAATTCATCTCGCTTCCGTGAAAGAAAGTGGCAAAGGACTCCCACAATGTGTTCGGAAGTTATGGGACTTCAAATTTCCCACCAAGAATGTTGGGAGTCGAACGCTCGTTTAATGTTCAGCAACTACACCAGATGCCGTAAGCAATCAGTCGTCCGTCTGCGCTGCGAGTATTCAAACGTTCAAACAGTTTAGACATTTCGTGTTTCTCAGTGTGCAACACTGACAGTTTCAATATGGCAGCCTCCTGTCGAGCTGGGTTTCGTATTTTTCGTCTCTTTCGCGTGTCGTTCCTTCGCACATTCAATCAAACTGACCTCAAAAGAGCTTATCCATGCGTGCTAAAATCACCATTTGTGTTTGGACATTGCCGCGGAATCGTTCCAAGGTATCAATTTTATTCTTTCAAGCCTTTGATTAAGCAGTCAACGTTAGCTTGACCGTAGTCAACGTGAGCTTGACCTTCGTACGTTACCTACGTTTAAAATTAATAAATCAATAAAAAGTTTTCCTGAACCGTCCAGATGTATTTCGTTGAATACTGACTCATGAGTCTCAATAAGCCAACCTGGGTTCTTTAACTTTAATCGCGCAGTAGTTAGTGCACAAATGCGTTTCAGTTAAATGCTTGTTCCTATAAAACCTGTATTACTTTTTTACGCTCTGCTAACCTGTGACGCATTGATAAACGTGGCCCTCTACACCCCCAAATTTTAATTTTTTTTTTTTTTTTTTGTGATTGATGGGAGTTTTGTAGCACGCACGTCGCAGGTTCTCGCGCGTCACGCTCAGCTTTAGCACTAGTGAAGGCAGCAGGTTCGCGCTGGGGGCTAGGAGTTCAAAAAGGGTGATAACAAAAGACCGTTTGTCTTGTTATTCATTCACTGAGCCATAAGTTTCTCATAGACCGCGTTCACCGAACTGTCCGCTACCTCCGTATATATGTGAAGTTTTGTGTCACTTGAATGTGGAATGTGCAGAGAGTTCATTTATTCACTTGCTATGTAAAAATACAGTTTTGCTAATGTGAATAATTTTGATTGCAGGACTGCTGTCCTGGCTGGTGTCTTATCCTTCCTTGGGCTGGGTGACAGCAAAGAGGAGGACACACTGATCGTTACAATCAAGATGGGCATCCTGAACCTTCAGCAGCAGGATTACAAGAAAGCAGAGTCTATCCTTCACGTCGCCCTCAAGATGGCGCAGGAACGCACGGACCCCCAGGCCGAAACTTACATCTTTGATATCCTTGCCAATGTCGCGTATGAGAAGGGAGAGTACTTGAAGGCTGAGAAGCTGTTCATAGACGTCATGCAGCGAGCGATTTCCTCGGGGACTCCCCGCGACGACAACTCGATAGTCGAAATGTCACTCAAGCTGGCGCAAATTTACAGCCAAACGAACGATATTGAGAAAGCAGAACAAGGCTTTCAGTTTTGCATCGACACGCAGCAGAAGAAGTTGGAGGGAATAGACTATGCGGACAGCGCTGTAAAGTTGACGGAGGCTGAAACAAACAACCTGGTTTTGTGGGCAATGAGCATGGAAGGCTACGGAAGATACCTCCTCGAACAAACACGTTTCCAGAAGGCGCGCGAATGCTTTGAGCAAGCACTGAAGGTCTCGGAGAAGGTGAACGGCCCGTCGCACGAAGTTACTCTTGCCTTACTCAATGACATAGGAGCGGTTGCTACGCTCCTTCAGGATTACAATACTGCCATTGCATTGCTTAGAGAGACTATTGCCAGGGCACAGAGCGTCCAGTCCCCAGAGCTGGCGGCTTTCTATTGCAATCTTGGAGGCGTATTCATGGAGCAAGGCCAAGACTTGGAGGAGGCAAAATGGGCATGTACGAAAGCGTCGAAACTTGCGAAGAGCACGAATCATAGGGAAGCTGCGGCGAGGTCTCAGGAATGCCTAGAGGAGCTGCGGAAGCATGCTACCGTGTGAAAAGCGAAGACTTTTAGCTGTTGCATGGCGTGTGCTGCAGCATTTTTCGAGCTTTCAAACGAAAAAGCAGTATTTAGTGATTGAACAAGCAAAAACGCTGCATTTGGAGAAGTCATCACATCGGGAAATGCAAAAGTTAAAGTAGCCCAATAGCAATATAGGTAATGTTGATATTTTAGGTTTACCTTTAATAGCATACAATGTGTGATGTCAGTGTTTGACATAGTATTTCGTTGTCTAGCAAGTTGCCTTTGTGGACTTTACAGCATAGGAGTGCCTGTTTTGTAGGCTTCAAAATATTAAGTTGTGCACTTATAAAAAAAATTCAGCTTGCTTAATCTATTTAGACCAGGATCTCAGCAAGTCGTTTCTCGCTTACTAGATGCCATGACTGGAATGCTGACGCCAAATAATATGCCAATGCCATATTGGCAAAGCATGACACTATAATTGGGCACAATCCCTGCATTAAGGCACTTAAACACTTCTGCATTTGACTGTGTCTGAGTGGAATGGTGTCCTTCTGGCAGGTAGCAGTCGCTTGTGGAACGATGCTCGCCATTGTGCAGTCCGCCGCAATGCATCGAATGGAAGTTTAATCTTGCTCAACTTTCAAACTTGGCAACACTGACGGAGTGGTGCGGCAGTCCAATCAAAAGCCAAGTAAAGAAAGAGGGTCTTGCGCTTGCTCGCGCCAATGAGCATTGCACATCCTGTTGCCGTTTGGAAATGGGGTCTTGCTTTTGCTTATCTGAGAACGGTGGGGACTCAGGAGCAGGCTATTATAAGGTTGCTGTAGTTCAAGCTTAACAAAAATGTGTGTATAGGCCTTTACTGTTAAATTCTCTGCTCATGGCCAGTAAGTGCATCCGGTGCAGTCTAGTGTGCTGATGCTTTGAAGGCCTTGATGTAAATCTACAGATCAAATTTAGGCTCATACCAGGAAGCCCTAGCCGTAGTTTTAGGTTAATTCATTGCTACAGACAAACCTGGCTTGTGACCTAACTTGTGTTAATGAATTTTCGAAAACTGCAAACTTTTACCTGTTTCAGACGCTCTCGGTGCACTGCCGTGCAGGCCACAAGACACTCCTCCATAGATATCCGCTAGCAGAGAGATTGCATATGCTGTCGACATGAGTAAGGGCGAGATTAACTCACTTTGTCAGCTGGAGAAGTACTGTGCCCGACAATTCACTGCTTTTTACATTTGGCAGGTACTCTCAGTGTAATACAAAACCAGACTGTCTACTCACTCTTGTACTGCTGCAGGGATATGTTGCAAATTAAAAAAAGAAAAAGCAGTCTATAGGTAGCTTCCAGTTTTTCTCTTCCAGAAGTGTGGGATGGGTTTAATTGTATACAAGCATATTTTCTGTTAATGTTCCCATGATCTTGTCACCAATCCAAATCTTCAACATTATGATGCTTTGGTTTACTATGTGCACATCATTAGGAAAATTCCTTTCATTAATTTTCCTACATGCTATATTCTGTTTTCATTAAATTAATATCTGCAGTGGTCCGCATTAGTTTTTTTACCATGAGCAAGAACTTTCCAATTGGTTATATAATGCTCTAGTCAAAGCTTGCTTATTGGATCGGCACCTGTAGAGACCGGCGACCGTCAAGGTCAGGGAGGAACGAACACACACACGCGCCTGGTCCGGGTAGAACCAAACGAGCAACGTCCTCTACCTCTTTACTCTCTCGCATATATACAACCTAAGGGTAGCGACACCCACCACAACATCCCCCTTTCTCAAGGACATCGCTCGTGGGTGAACAAATCACAGCGCACGACCTCACTGCAAGTTCAGTCTCTTTGGAGCTACTACTTAACGGCCAGATCTCGTGCCCCAAGGAGAGTGGATCCACAACATTGGCTGGTGTTTGACTTGCATCAGCTCTCAAACTTGCCCTTGGCTCTGCGGGAGCTCCCTCGGCTGAAGGCTCCAGAGAAGGCGCTGTAACCAGTCTTCTTTGTTCAGAGCCTTGAGGTTGCAGCCCATTGGCTCCCTTTGCGGCAGGAACCGGCAGAACCGGAGTTGGCAGGACGGGAACTGGCTCTGTAGGTTGGTTCTTGAAAGGAATCGGCTATCGCCGATTTCTCTGCGATACAACCCGCGGAGTTTCGACGACGTAAGATCGTGGGCGTTGCGCTCGGCTAAGCACTTGGGCAGGGCACTGTGCATCAGCCACCCACACATCTTCGCCAGGTGAAAGTTCCCTGAGCTCGCGCACTTTGTGACGACGGTTGAAGTTTGAGGCTTGGCGTCGCTTGGCCACAATGTCCTGCTCCAGGAAGACCTGTGACTTCAACCATGCTGGCCGGAGTTTCTCTGCAGCCTTGGGTACTTGAGTCCGCAGCTGTCAACCCATCAGCAGCTGAGCAGGGCTGAAATCCAAGATGCCTGGTGTATCTCTATAGACGAGAAGTGACAAAAACGGATTGTCGCCTTTAACCAAGAGGTCCTTCACTGTCTGCACTGTACGCTCCACTTCTCCATTTGACTGCGGAAATCCCAGACTGCTAGTGACGTGCTTATATCCGTAGTCTTCCGCGAATCGGGCGAAATCGTGGGAGGCAAACCGTGGTCCGTTGTCACTTCAAAGGACCTCCGGGGTTTCAAAACGCGCCATGACGCTTTTTACTGCAGAAATCACGGCTTGACTTGACGTGCTTCGCAGTGTCATTATTTCAGGATATCGTGAGTGATAGTCTACCATCAGTAGAAAATCTTGGCCGTTCAAGTGAAATAAATCGACTTCCACCTGTTGCCAAGGTAGCTCTGTTGGAGGCGACGTCATGAAAGGTTCAGCTCGCTGTTCTCTTGTAGATGCTCAGTGCTCGCACTTCTCAAACATGGTTTTGATTTGATCGCCAATACTGGGCCACCACGCCGAGTCTCGAGCCCGTGCCTTGCAGCGGTTCACTCCTTGGTGTCCTTCGTGAATGGCCTGCAGGACATCAGGTCGCAGCGATGCAGGAATCATGAGGCGTCCTCCTTTGAGAAGCACACCATCACAAACGGTTAGTTCTCTGCAGTAGTTCCAGTACTTCGTTAGGTGACGTGAAACCTTGGTCTTCTGAGGCCAACCTTGGTTGCAGAACTTTGCGAGTGCTGTACACTCGCAATCTGTTGACTGTTGTCGATGGACCACTTTGAGACTGTGTGAACCACGCTCTGGACGTACAGCTCTAGGCTGTCGCAGGTTGACAGAGTTGCCCGGTCCAACGGCGCTCGAGACAGGGTGTCGGCCGTTGCCAGGAGCTTCCCAGGAATGTATAAAATCTGGTACTGATACCGCGTCAACTTGATCCTCAGTCGCTAAACTCGTGGAAAAAAAAAGTCCACGTCCATGTCGCCAAGCAACGCAGTCAAGGGCTGGTGATCGGTTTCCACGCTACACCGCAGTCCCCGGACGTACTCATCAAAGCGATGCACAGCCCATGTCACTGCCAAAGTCTCCTTTTCAGTCTGGCTGTACCTCTGCTCGGTCGCTGTGAGTGACTGTGAGGCAAAGGCCACCACCCGACGCTCGCCTGACTGTTGGTCCTGGAGCTGGACTGCCCCGAGACCGAAAGAGCTGGAGTCAGCAGACACTATGGTTGGGTGCTCCGGATTGTAGCAAGCCATACAAATGTCTCAAGAGAGCATAGTCTTTAACTTGAGGAAGGCAGCCTGCTGGCTTGGTCCCCAAAACCACGCTCTCTTATTGCTTAGCAGTTTTCGATAGAGACTGTGACGTCAGACAGATGCAAAAACCTACCTACGTGGTTGACCATTCCTAGTAGTCCGCAGACACCTCCGACGTTGACCGGTAGTTCCATATGCTGTACAGCCTTCACCTCCTCAGGGTCTGACAAAATACCATTCTGGCTGACGACCACGCCAAGAAACTTTACACTGGTGATGCCAAACTTGCACTTGGACTTGTTCAGAGTCGGACCTGCCTTCTTTAAGTGGTCGGGAACCTCTGCGAGACGCTTGTCATGTTCCACATGATCTTGGCCAAAAATGAGAATGTCATCAATCATTGACAACTTCATCTTGGCCCTTCAGGATGTACGACATCTGGCGTTGAAAATATTCTCGCGAAGAGGTAATCCCGAAAGGCAACCGACAAAAGCAGAACTGTTTGAACGGGGTAATGAGCATTGTGAGTTCTTGGGACTTACTTGACAGCTTCATTTGGTGAAAACTCGATGTGACATCGAGCTTGGAGAAGACTCTCGCCTCGCCCAGAAGTCCCAACGCTTGAACCACTGTCGGCAGGATGTGACATTCACGCAGCACCGCCCGGTTCAGTTGAGTCGGGTCCACGCATATGCGGTAGCTTCCCGAAGCTTTCGGCACCAACTAAGCCTGCCTACCACGGTGTCAGTTTGGTTACTCTCTGGATTACACCTTGAGCCTCCGTCTTGTCTAGCTCAGACTTGACGACATCGCATAGCGGGATGGGAACCTTCCCCAGAACGTGCCGCGAGTACGGTACCGCGTTCGGCTGAAGACGAATTGTGTGCTGCTCCCGAATTTCGTCGAGGCCTTAAAACAGCTGTGTCAACAAAGTCCCGGCGAGCTCACTAGGACAGCTTTCGGTAGAAGGCTCCGGAAGGTGATCCACAAACTTGGCCACACCCAACGCCTGAATTGCCAGAAATCCCAACAAGGGAACAACTTGCGAACGTACCACGTAGAGCTTCTGCCTGACGCGCTTGGTTTTCCATTCCAAGGCTGTGATGAACGTTCCAAGCACATCCAACGGTTGACTGGCTGGTCCTGTCAACTCCCCCTCTGGGGGCTCCAGGCAAGCTGGTATCCCCGAAAACGTGTTGAGGACGACGGTGACCTCCGTGCCGCTGTCAACCTTGAAGCTCAGCCGTACGTCGTTGACCTTCACGTCTACAAACTTTGCCCTTGCCTTGGACGGAGAATGGACGGCACCAAGCTGCAGCGAAGCCAACTTGTTCTTGGCGCGGCAGACAGCTGCGAAGTGGCCCTTCTTGTGGCACTTGTTGCATTGCGCATGGTTAGCAGGGCACTCTGAGCGCGGATGCGGAGAACGTCTGCAAAACCCACATAAAGATGCATTTGCTGCGTTGCCGCTTGCTTGCTTCAGCCTTGGCAGGCGGTTCTTCACTACTTTCGCCGCGTCATAGTTTAACGCTTTTGCTTCCGCTGAAGCTGCCGTGGCCGTGGATGCCGATGAGTCCTGCAGCTTCCATTCACTTTCCGCGTCCTCGTATTGGCGAATTTGAATGAGCACTTCGTCCAACGCCAGCTTTGTGTTTCGGCACAATCTGTCCGACAGCTGTGTCTCTTGCAAGCCCATCACAAAACGGTTGTGAATGAGCCATTGCTCCAGTTTGCGCGACGGGTAGTTACATTTTTTTGCCATGTTACTGAGCATCGTAAAAAAAGTCTGCTGACTCACCTGCTTGCTGCAACCGTCTGTGGAAGCGTGCGCTCTCGTAGAGCTCGTTGACTGGGTGAACAAA